ACAAATCCTTTACCAGGATGGACCCTGCACGGCCAGCTTGCTGCCTCACACTGCAGGCAGGGCCCTGGTTACTTCTTGATTTTACTTTGGTCCAAAGGATGAACGAACTCATTGTCCGTCAGAGACTTTCCGGCTGTGGTGGTAGCCAGTGGACCACAATAAAGGTTTCTCTTCCTTTTTACTTTTACTTTCAAAGAATCTCTTTTTAAGGAGACACCAGGGGCTGGAGAAATGATTCAGAGGTTAAGAGCACTGTCTATTCTTCCAGAGAGGTCCTGAGTTCAATTCCCAGAAACCACATGGTGGCTCACAACCGTCTATAATGAGATCTGGTGCTCTTATGACATGCAGGCAGAACACTATATACATAATAAATAAATGGTAAAAAACAGAGACACCAAAATTTAGGTTTTTTTTTTTGCAAGTGAAATGTGTATAAATCCTCGGTTTTTACATATTAGTTTGTAATACAATAAATATTTGGTCATTTTTGATCTATAAAATCAGGTATGCAGCTGGGCCTTGGTGGCACACGCCTTTAATTCCAGCACTCGGAAGGCAGAGGCAGGCGGATCTCTGGGAGTTTGAGGCCAACCTGGGCTACAGAGTGAGTGCCAGGACAGCCTCCAAAGCAATACAGAGGAACCCTGTCTCAAAACACCCGCCCCCCAAAATCAGATATTCATGTAGTTTAAGCTCATTGCTGGTTACTATATCAGTGACCAGCCAAGTCACAGGCACTTATCTCTGCTATAGTTCTCATTTGGGACCAGTTTTTCTGGTCAAGTTCTTGAATTTGCTAAACATTGTGTGTCATAGATGAGGCTACCAAGGCCCAAGGAAATGCAGTGTGTTATTGGGGGTGCTCCAAGCAGAGTTACACATTACAAAGCTCAGTGATCCCCTGGCATCCCCACCCTGTAAAACCAAGACCTCCACACGCATTTTCCTGGAGCTCCACAGTTTGCATGTTTAGCTGTTCAAACACTAACACATTGCAGTGGATGGTTTAGGAATGTCCCCCAAGGGACCCTGTGTTAAACACTTGTCCTCTGGGTGGTGCCAGCATCCTCTACTGGTGGATCCCTTGGTCGCTAGGGTTATGCTCTTGAAGGTCTCTTCCTCTTGTATGTTGTTTTCTTGATCAGGCTCCAAGTGGTACGTTCTGTCTCACCTCATGTCCCAGCCCTGGAGTCAATTGATGGTGTACCGGAGCCCCCATACTCTGAGCCAAACATGCCTTAGCCTTTTTTGTATCTATGACAGATGCTTGAAGTAATTTAAAGGGGAAAGGATTTATTCTGGCATATGATTTCAGAATGTTCAGTACCTCTTGAAGGAGCATGGGATGAAGGAGAGTGTTGACCTCATGGCTCTGGATGGCTCTAAGGGAGAGGGAGAGAGAGAGAGAGAGAGAGAGACAGAGAGACAGAGAGACAGAGAGAGAGAGGGAGAGAGAGAGACAGAGAGAGAGAAAGAGAACCCAAGATGTAGTAGCATTCAAATCTGTCCAAATGTACACTTGCAGTAACCCACTTCCTTCCTCCACCCAGTCTTCCATAGTTTTACCACTTCCTAGTCTTAAATTTATCAATGCACCCAATTGTTTTTTAAAAATAGTTTTCTTCATATATTTTGCTACATTTTATTATCCCTTGGAAGCCTGTTCTTTTCTAATTAGAGAGAGAAGGGGAGCAGATCTGGATGACGTGGGAGATGGAGAGTAGCTGAAATGAATAAAAGGAGGGAAACCATAATCAGAATGCAGTATTTGAGAAAAAGATCTATTTTCAATAATAATGAAGGAAGAAGAAAAAGAGCATCCCATTGCTGATCAGGCATGAGTCCTCATTGTCTCTGGAAACCCCCTCACAGACATACCCAGAAGTAGGCATTATTAATCTCATAGAAGGCTCTCAGTCGAATGAAGTTAATAGTCAAGATCAAACATCACTTAACGAGTGTGAGGGTGTGCTGATTGTGACATCTGTCACCCCATTGGTTACCGGGGTTGATTCGGCTGATATGGCTTGGTTCCCAGTCTTTGGTACTACCAGGAAGTGGTAAATCCTTTGGGAGATGGGCCCTGCTAAGAGGAATTTAGTTCATTGACGTGTACTTTTAAGAGGTATTGGGATTCTGGTCTCTCCTCTCTCTGATGAATGGATCCTATGAGGTGAACCAGCCTCCCTTCCCATGTGACCCCACCATGAGCTCACAGCAATGGGGCTAAGTGAGTTGGCCTGAAGCCTTCAAAACTGTGAGCCGAAACAAACCCTTCCTTCTCAGCAGCTGATCGTCACAGGGATTTTTGTCACAGCAGCAGGAAGCTGACTGACACAACCTACAAGAAGTCAATGGTACAGACTTCATGGCAAAGGTACCAAAAGTAGGGTTGTTTTTCCTCACCAGGGGTTACATTTCCCAGAGTCCCTGGCATGGGAATTGAGGCATATGACAGATGTTGAGGTCCAAGCGGGATGTGGGCAACAGTGAATGCTCTTTCTGCCCCTTCTGCAGAGGATAGGTCTTTACTGATGGGAGGGTGGGGCTCAGGGTGACCGGTGGGGGACACGGGGGAGAGCTGTCAAGAGTAGTTCTCTGAGTTGCCCTGCCTGGTGAGGAGCCAGAAGCCAGCCTTCGTTAGGACACTGAGATGCTGATGCTCGTATTGCAGTGCACCGTGCTCCTTCTCTGTTAGTACCAGGTCAAACAAGCAAGATAAAGCTTCCAATACAACAGAGCATTTTATTTATTCTGTATTGGGTCCTTCTACTATTTATTGAAATATCAAACAATCTTCTGTTTTAAGAAGGTTCCAGAATCAGTGACTGACTTTAAGTTGGACTTTACAGATGGGGGACCTTTGGGCCCCAAGAGAGGTGATTTGCCTGGGGCCTCAGAGTGGAGGCAAGGTTAGAACGGACTTCGCCGTCTGTAGCTGGGGTCCTTTCTTTTGGCAAGGGCTGTTGAATTTTCCCATCTCCCTTTTCAGGTACGCATGCTTCATGCAAGACTTCTCTTCATCCCTCAACTCCAGCTCTGCCTAATTTGCATTATTTCCTACCCCACTCTCTGTGATTAGATTTGTGATGGACATGTGGCCCAGATTGGATCAAGCCCCAGCCGGTCTCAGCATCTTTGCTGCAGCTCCCTGGGATGTTGAATCAACATGCGTCTCTAGCTTTTGGGTCTATTATAGCACATCTAGATTAGAAATGAAGACAACAGCGGGAAGCTGAGCTGAAGATGCCAGCAAACATAGGGGCCCCAGTGACAATGTTTGAGGACCTGGATTCAGCCATGCCCAAAGCCTGAACCAGTAGTACAGTTACCTTTTTTTTTTTTGCTTTTGTTTTGTTGTTGTTGCCAGTTTTGGTTGACACTTGAAGCTGACTTATACATGCTGCTGCCATTTTCTCATCAAGGGACAGGAGTCCCTGATCTTTGTTTCATGTCGTTTCTGATGATAGTATGGAGGCCCTGCCAGCTTGTGACTCCCTCAGGAGTGCCTCATACAGGAGCTCTGCATTGCATCTGACCCTGTCAGAGTCCAGATACTCTTTGAAACTCATTGGGGAGTACTGAATACGACATCCACCAAAAACTGAGTTGCTACTGAACTGTTGCTGAAATGGAAGGAGATATTTCCACAAACAATTGTGCAGAGTGTGATGAGCAAGCTTGTGGAAATAGGATGTACAGACAATGCACTAACAGATATTTAATGTCACTAAGATTACGAGAAAAACAGATGCTGTCACCAATGAGTGTAGGAAAGGTTGTCTGGGAGTGGGGAGATGTTCCCCGGCTGTGGGAAGGAGGACAGTAATGTGGCCTAGCCTTTTCAGAGCCCAACTAAGTGACTACTCAAGCCAGAAGACAGGTAGCCTCTTGTTTAGAACTTATTCTACAAATAAACTTTGATGCATCTGCAGAGACGTTAAGTAGATGTAAATAGTAAGGAGGTATTTGTAATAGCAAAAATACTGGTCACAATTACTCACTGAAAGGAAACTGCCTTTATCAATCCCGGGACATCCGGCCCATGAAATCAATTCCAGTTGCTAAAAAGAATGAGGGCACCCAGGATACATAAGGGTGGGAGGGTGTTGAGGGTATATGATGCTATTAATGTTGAGATGGAAATTAAATATTTCCAAAGGTAAGATGAAGGTAGGAAGTAGGACTAGGGAGCCAGGGGACTTTAATTCTCAACTAACTAATCTTCCAGGCAGAAGAGAGGACCCAGGTCCCACCATCTGTAAATTCAGTTCCAGGGGCATCTAATGCCCTCTCCTGGACTTTGCAGGCTCCTGTACTCACTCATACACCCCCCCTCCTCCCCCCATTAAAATACATCTTAAAAAATCTTTACCACTTGATTTTTTAATTGCCTGAGCATGTATTACCTTACACATTCATTTGAAACCTAATAACACATGAAGTGAAAGGACTCAAAAGGCTCAAGGGGGACGTGCCAGTTATCTGTAGCCAACTGATACAGAATTAATCTATTTCCAGTGTGTACTTATTGCTTTTAGTAAGAGGACGAGAGTGGGTGAGGACGGGTGGAAGCCACTGTGGTTCTTCTCTGTGTCTTCCTCAGAGTCCTTCTTTGTAGATGGGCTGGCTGGCATGAGGCTTCCTGAACCCCGCTGTGAGGGTAGCCTGTCCATGGTCCCTGCCTGTGGTTCTCCAAGGTCTGGACCCTGAAACGGGAGGGGGGGGGACTAGACAGTGAGGCACTGGGTCCCCCAGGACCGGCCCCTTCCTGCCAGCTCCCTTGAGCCAGGCCTGCCTGGCAGATACTCAAACACTCATTAGGCAAGGCAGATCTGTAGGCAAATATTTATCCCCGTGCAGCTGTGGGCTGCAGGTGCAGGGCAGAGTCCTGTTTACCTAGCGTGCAGCCAAGCAGGCGCTGCCTGTTTGCTAAGTGCCCTTGCTGACTTTGCTCAGATGCCCACCTGGGGACAGGCTGGGGTGGAGCAGTCAAGTGAAAAGTCAGGAGCTGCTGCCCTGGCAGCCAAGCCTTGCAAGGCTTCCTGATGGCTGATGTGACTTAGATGGTAAATCCAGCTGAATTCTCGTCTCTCTCATGCAACTGTCTCCTGTGCTGTCCGCCAAGGTGGGTCACTGGCCACCTCTTTCTGGGGTTTTGGGATTCAACTCCCATGCCCACTCGTCAGGGTCTTCACAACTCATCTCTATTCTAGAGAGGTTGGGGCTACTATTAACCACTGTTGTGACCCCAGCAATTACCACATTATGCTAACAATGGTTGGCCCTTGCTGTCCACCTAGGGATGTCTCTTGGGCTCTCTGCCAATTCCAAGGGAGGATGCCCATGGCCCTTCCATACTTAATTTTATTTTTTGTGGTGCTGGGGATGAAATCTAAGGCTTCAGGCAAGGGCTCTCTCTATTCCTGAGCTGCAGTCCTGCTGGGCTTTATTTGTTGGAATCCTCTCTAGGTGACTTACAACGTCTAACCCAGTATAAATGCCATGTATGAACTTGTATGCATGCTTCAGAGGGCAACGCCAAGCACAAAAGGATGTCTACATGCTCAGTACAGACGCAGGTTCTTTTCTGAATGGGGAACCTGCAGATGCGGAGGGTGACCACACTTTAAGTATTTATTTATTTATGTTTTATGAGTGTGAGTGTTTTGCCTGCATGCATGTTTAGGGACCACATGCATGTCAGATGACATGGGCAGGTCCCCTGGAACTGGAGTTACAGTCTTGTGAACTGCCATGTGGGTGCTGGGAATTGAACTCTGGTCCTCTGGAAGAGTAGTTAGTGATTGTAAGCTCTGAGCCATCTCTTCAGCCTCCACACCTATTTTTCCACACTTAGCTGGTTCATGTTCGTCTTGGTGAGACAATAGATGGGTGGGGATGAGGGACATTTGTACACTTTTAATTCCCCAGCCTTTCCCCAGGGAATCTAGTGCCTGGCAGGTGCCTAGTGAATATCTGCTCAGGGGTCAGTCCGAGGGAAGCCGTTCAAAGCTTTAAATACCACACCAGTGAGTCTGGTTTTCTCTAGTCAAAGACAGGAAATTGTTGGATAAGGAAATGCAATAATATAAACAAGTAAATAATAAACCAAATGCTCCCAATTGAACAATACAAATTCTGTATCATCTGCTCTCCCAGCCACACCCCTTCCCCATCTCTCTTCCTTCACCCCAGCCCATTGGCCATTTTGCTGTTTCTTTTAAAAAATTAAAAAAGGTTTATTTATCTTATATAATGTATATGGTTTGTGCATGTATGTCTGTGCATAAATATGTGCATTGCCTGTTCAAGAGGACAGGAGAAGGCACTGGGTTTCATGGAACTGGCGTTCCGGACAGTTGTTAGTCACCATGTGGTTCTGGGAATCAAATCTGGTTCTCTGGAAGAGTAGCCCTCGTTCTTAACCTCTGAGCCCTTTATTAGTCCTTCAACGACCTGGGAGCACTCCAGCCTCAGGGTCTGCTACAGCCTGAGATTGTCATCATCTCCCCCTCTGGAGCTGTGTGCTGACTTGTGTTCAAGGAGATAGTGTCAGGAGGTGGCGCCTTTGGTAGCAAAGGTTATGGTAAGGGGGGTCCTATTAATATAATTAGTGTAGGCTACACATTTCTGTTCTTAAGTGCCATGCTTGAATGCATCTTCCAGTTAGTGTGCTGGAACCCACTCTGCCCACCCCAGTGCGGTAGTCCTGGGAGATGGGACGTCTGAGGGGGCTAGTTAGAAGGGCTCTGCCCTCCTCCGTTGTTTAATGCCTTTGCCTCAGGAGTGGGATCCTGATACAAGGGTGAATTTAGTCTCCTCTCTCCATCCTTCCTCCCTCTCATACTCCTACCCTCCCCCACTCTTTTGTCCTTATACCTTCCCGTATGATGGGGATGGTACTCTGGGAAAGCCTGGGCTCTAGAACCGAAAGAATTAACCTTTAATTATAAATTGCCTAACCTGTATGTGGTGGTCTGAAAGAAAATGGCCCCCAGAGGGAGTGGTACTATTAGGGGGTGTGGCTTTGTTGGAGTAGGTGTGGCCTTGTTGGAGGAAGTGTGCCACTGTGGGGGTGGTCTCCTTTGCTCAAGCTTCACTCAGTTGGACACTCAGTTCACTTCCTGTTGCCTGTAGATCAAGATGTAGGACTCTCAGCTCCAGCACCATGTCTGCCTGCACACTACCACGTCCCACCATGATGATAATGGAGTAAACCTCTGATGTGTAAGTGAGCCACCCCAATAAAATGCTTTCCTTTATACAAGTTGCCATGGTCATGCTGTCTCTTCACAGCAATAGAGGCCCTAAGACACTGTCACACTCTGTTATAATAGCACGAAATGGATTAAGTCAATAAACTATCCATTGATGGTGTTTTGTTATAGCATTCTAAACAGACAAGACAGGGCCTTCAAATACTCTGTTTTCTTGTCTGTAACACTTTCCCTTGGACACCTTGGTGTCTCTCCTTACTTGTTTACATTTCAGCCTCCAGTGTCACCTGACCAGAGGGCCCTTCCCTACACTACAAAGGAGCCTCATTGTACAGGACGCCCATCCTGCTCATTTGCCTTTCTAACAGTTGAACCTGCTTATCTGCTCATCTGTTTTGCCCTGGGGACAGGAAAGTAAGAGTGCCACGCCTGTCTGTAATCCCAGTCGTAAAAGCTTTAGACTCATTGAATGCCTGCTGAATGAATGAGGGAATATTGGTTAGTTCTAGAATGATCTGACTGCTGCAACTGCTGCTCACCCATGTGCCCATGATGGCCTTGATTGCAGACCCTTTGCTTAGCTCCCTTTGCTCTGCATGACAGTAGGAAGGGGATTATGACAAGCCTTAAAAAGTGACCTGTGATGGCACAGGCGTGTCACAGCCACACAGAACTAGGATGAGATGCCTGCAGGCTCAATACTGCAGCAAAATCAAGTTTTAAAATTTGATGTGCAGCGATTGCAGCAGGGAGGAAAGTATGTGTTTTGAGGCAGGTATTTTCCGTTCTCAACTCCCAGCTCAGCTGTCTACTGTGTGACCTGAAGCCCCCACTGCGAGCCTTGGATAACCCTTGGACAGGGACAGTATAGAAATCATTTCAATAGGGCCGTTTCCTGGACGACACCATTTGCTCCGTATCCTTTTAGAGACCTGGGTAAGTTGAGTCATGTCTTTGCTTTAACCAGCTGATCATTTCTGGATACAGTAATAGTTCCTGGGTACTGATCACACTGACAGCTTGGCTAAGCCCTGAGTTGTAGCTGTCCTACTGCGTTCAGGCTCCTTTGCAGTCCCACTGTGTGTTGCTTTACGAATGATGTCACATAACTCAGCAGTGGAAGGTCTGGGATTGGAAGCCATAATGTCATTCCCGGGAGCTTCCAACTGTTTGTGCTGGGGAATGATTTTGTTCTTTAAAAAAAAAAGATTTGAATTAATTTACTGGTTTAGACAGGTCTCACTTTGTAGCTCAGACTGTCCTGGAACTCCAGAGGGCTGGAATTACAGGTGTGTGCTGCCATACCTTGGCCTGTTCCTGTTTTATAGGTAGGGAAAATGAGGCTTGGGGAGACCAGAGATTTGCTTTGGAACTGGGAAGAGCTCGGACCCAGATCTGTCAATGTCTGTCCTGTGCTTTCCTCTGGCCCATCCCTCTGCACTCTGGGACAACAGCCAAGTGTCTCACTTCTTCTGGACTGTGCATGGGAAGCGAATGAAGGGGGGGTGGCTTTTCAAGGGTCCTTCCCATAACCAGCCGCAGGCTTGAGGCCGGGTGGGGTGGGGGTGTGGATTGCTGGTGGCAGAGGGGCCCGTTCTAGTCTCAGAAGGCTCCTCTCTTCCTTTCTGTCCACACCCCTCCCATTCCCCTTCCTGCCTCCCAGAGAGCGCTGCACTAATTAATCAGCAGACATTAGCTGTTCCAGCTGGGACCAAGTGGGGTAGACTCATTAGTGCAGAATGACATTCATATAACTTTTTTTGGAGACAAATGTTGTGTTCAGAGTAGGTGCCTGAGGAGGGTTGCCTGCAGAACTGGTGTAAGAGGCAGAGAGGAAACCATGGGACTTCGGGAGGAGGACCAGCAGGCCTAGCCTCCAAGATGGCTAGATGGAGAGGTTCTGAACTCTGCTCTCCTGTGCTGACTGGTGTGGACTGGTTTGTTCCTCTGAACCTTTGGTGGAAACCCAGCATCTCTCCTTATTCTGTATTTTAGAAAGTCTCCTTGTGCCAGTCTCTCAATGGACTAAGAACCTCTCCAACATGTGACAGGGACTCACATTGCTGACTGGCTGGTTCCTCGGGAGGCCATGCAGAATAGCATTATGGAGGTGAATTCAGAAAACGAAACTCCCCCATGGAATCCCTTGGAGCAGGCAGGTTAGGGCAGCAGTGCTGTGTGATGTCCTTTGGGTCTGGATGGTTTGGGACAGGGTCTACCTTCTGCCCTTCTGCCTTCTCTCATTGTCCTTCAGAAGGCCACCCTGGTCACCTTGGGCTTCTGCTTGCTCTTCTGGGCTGGGAATGTGTAATACGGTGATAACAGCTGCCTCTCGGGACTTTTGAGGACCATGGGGTGACATCCTTTGCAGAGCGTGTACCAGAGGATGGGGACTGGCCTGCTTTCCTTCTTTTTGTTTGTCATTCTTTACCCAGTAGAGCTAGCCAGCTCTTGGGTTTGAGAGATTATTATAATTGTGTATGCTTGCATGCTGTGTGTGGGCGTGCCTGCCATAGCGAAGGTCTGGTGGTGAGAGGACAACCTTGTGGAGCTGGTTCTCTCCCTCCGCCTTTACAAGGGTTCCGGAGATGGACTCAGGCTGCCCAACTTGTGCAGCAAGTGCCTTTACCCTCAGAGACAATGGACTCAGACCCCCCCCAGGAGAAGACTAAGAATTGATTTGTTTGCCTCTATGCTACTGTCTTCTTCACTCACTCATACGTTCACGAGCGCACACTGAGAGCCTGCCATGTGACAGCTAGACCAGACTCCGAGGCTAAGGAGGAGGAGGATGTGACACGTGCTTCTGTGAGGAAGTTAGCATGGGAGAAGAAAACCGAGAGAGTGTGGAATACAGGGGGCTGTTGGGTTTTCTCAAGATACTGTTTCAAATGCGTTGTCTCCTGGC